TCAGGCAAAAGGCATTTCCCTGAACATTCTACTTCTGAGAAAGGAAAAGTCACGTGAAGACAAAAGGCTACAGCTACTCTATTTGCACAGTCTTCAAGCATTGGACTTTCAGCACTATAAAAGGACGTCTTCTACATCTCTTCAAAGTTGACGAACTACTGAGAAATTAAATCAAAACTACTCTCAAGCTCTCATACAAATTTTGTTTCATAAGCTGAATAGTTTTTCTTATTCGTTCTTAATCTAAGTGTAAAAATCACAGTTTGTGATATAGCTTTTTAGAAGCATCTAAACACTTGTTAGTTTACATTAATTTGTAAAAGGCTCCTTGAGAAGACCAAGTTATGGTCAGAATTTCTTGAGAAGACTAAGACAGTTGTCCTTAGTGGTTGAGAATGTAATCTGTTTGAATATAGTGGATTAAGTCCTTGTGGAGAAAGGCAAATCACCTTGATAGGGTGGACTGGATTAGTTGATTTTAACGAACCAGGATAAAAATCTTGTGTTGCTTTTATTGCCATATTTTTTCTAAACCCTTATTCAACCCCCCCCCCCCCCCCTTCTAAGTGTTTTTCTCACCTTCATCCAAGACTATATATATGATACAAGTTCTTTGAAGTACCACATCACTTGATTTTGTGAAGGAAGAGAGAGTCTAAGGCTATATATATGGTTCAAGTTCTTCATTACAAGATGCAACAGTCAAAATTACTTTAAGCTTATATTTGAGTCTCTTTGTTCTATTATACTCTTGTATTAGAGTGTTATGAGATGTAGTTAAATATTTCTTTTAGAGGGTGTCGGTGTACTGAGAGCCTGTGTTAGTTGATGGTATATTATGAGTTGTAATAATTTTCATATAGTGTTATTCTCTAGTTCTCTATTGACAACGGTCGTGGTTTTTTCTCCGATTTTGGAGTTTCCACATTATGTTATTGTGTTCCTCTTTTTTCTCTATGCTTTGCTTTATTTTTTTCCCAACAGAATGGATATGACAATATAGGCTTAGGAATTTTAATTTCAAGGATCTGAATGTTATGTTGAAATATAACATGGTTATAGAACTGCCATTGTTCAATATGCCAAGTGAAGTATGTTAAGAATGTGTGCATGCCGAGCAACACCGATGCAACTTTAGAAAATGTGCAAGATGTAAACTAAATTCTATATTGAGGTAGTGTATTTAGATGTTTGTGGACCAATGCAAGTTGACAGAATCCCAGGAAACAAGTACTTTGTCACGCTCATTGATGATTTTTATAGAAAGTTGTGGACTTACTTGATTAAAATAAAAGACGAGGTTTTGAAAGTATTCAAGAAGTTCAAATATATGGTGGAAAGACAAAGTGAACACACAATCAAAACCTCAAAACGGATGGTGGATGTGAGTATGTCTCAAATGATATTTGGGAAATTTTGTGATTAATAAGGCATTGTACATGAGGTAGTGCCACTTTATACGCCTCAATAAAATAGAGTCGCCGAAAGGAAGAAATAATAAATTATGAACATGGTGAGAAACATGTTGAAAGGGAAGAACTTGCCAAAAGATTTATAGGGAGAAGCAGTGTCCACAACTGCATATTTGTTGAATAACTGTCCAACAAAGAAGGTAAAAAATATAACACCAGAAGAATCATGGTCCATATTCAAGTCAAATATGAGTCACTTGAAGGTATTTGGTTCGATTGTGTATAGACACATTCTAGATCATCTTAGAAAGAAGTTAGATGACATGGGAGAGCAAATGATACTAGTTAGGTATCACTATATTATAGGCTATAAACTCTATAATGAAGTTAACAAGAGAACCATAATCAGTAGGGACATGATATTTGATGAATTAAAGGACTAGAAACATGTTATAACCAATGAATCTAAAGGTTACAATAATGTTGGAACTGTTCTGGTAGTGTTTGAAAGTGCAGAAACTGCAGCCAGTGAAGTCCAAGTTAAAGAAAATGTGAGATGACTAACGAGGCAAAGAGGCATGCCTGCAATACTACAACATTTTGAGTTGTTCCTATATAACAAAGTAAACGAAAATGGTGATATCGTCTATTTTGTGCTCGTGGATGAATATGAACCGGGAGGAGGCCTTAAGTGATCCAAAGTGGAATGTGCAATGAAGGAGGAGCTAGGGTCACTTGAGAATATTAAGACAAGGGAACTAGTTAATCTACCTTAAAGAAAGAAGTAAATTGGTGTAATATGGGTGTACAAAGTGAATGCAAATCCCAAAGGTGAAATAATCAAGCATAAAACTCAATTAGTTCCAAAGAGGTTTTTGAAAAGAGAAGGAATAGACTTTGAAGAAGTATTTACACCAGTGGCTAGAATTGAAACTATTAGGCTAGTTATTGGCATTGCAAATAATAACAATTGGTTCATTTATCAAATGGATCTGCGTTTTTGAATGACCCTTTAGAAGAGGAGATGTATATGGCACAACCATTTGATTTTATTGTGAAAAATTAGGAATTCAAATTCTATAAATTGAAAAAGGAGTTGTATGGGATGAAGCAAGCACCAAGGGCTTAGAATAAAAGAATCGATGGGTTCTTAAAGGAGATACGATTTGATAAATGTGTGTCCAAACATGGTTTGTATGTGAAGAAGGATACAAGCAAATGAGTGATCATTCTATTTATCTATGTTGATGGTTTACAGATTATGGGAAACAATGAATGTTACATTATCGAATTCAAGGGTGATTTAAGGAATGCGTTTAAAATGAGTAAATGAATGACCTTGGTCTCATGACATATTTTCTTGGCATTGAGATTCACAAGTATGAAATGAGACTACTCATGCATCAACGGAGGTACGTTCTTGAGATATTAAAGAGGTTCTAAATAGAGCATTGTAATGTGGAAATTACCCATACAAATACAAGATTAAAACTATCAAAGAATGAAGACGAGTAAGATATTAATCCAACACAATACAAAAGGCTAATTAGATCATCGCGGTACTTGTGTAATAGGAGACCAAACTTGGCAATTAGTGTGGGCCTAGTGAGCATATTAATGGGGAAGCCAAAGGCATCACACCTAGAAGCCGTCAAGAGAATTTTGAGATAAGTTAAAGGTTTGATTGACTGAGGAGTTCTATTTCTCGCAATGGGTAAAGGTAAAAGTTGTAAATTGCTCGGTTATACCAACTTAAATTAGTGTGAAGATAAAGATGACAGAAAATCCATTCATGTATACATCTTTATGTATGTAGAAACATCAATCTCTTTGTGTTCTAAGAAGGAATCGATTGTGTCGTTATCTTCTTGCACAACTGAATACATTGAAGTATCTATGTGTGTGTGTGTGTCAAGTTGTATGGTTGATGACTTTGATGAAGAAGTTGTTCAATAAAGAGTATGAAGTTGTGACATTGATGATAGACAAAGTTTCTACTATAAAACCCGCCAAGAATCCCGTTACACACAGGAGAAGTAAGTATATAAAGATGAGATTCCATTACCTGAGAGAGCTTAGTGAAACAAAATTGAAGTTGAGATATTGCAAAAGTGAAGATCAAGTGGCCGACTTGCTAATTAAAGGAGTAACAATTGAAGTGTTCAAGAGGTCGAGAATCACATGAATATGGAAGATTTTTAAGACTTGAATTAAGGTGGTGTGTCATGAAAATAGTGTAATTTAAGTTGATGTATCCAATTATAGCACAGGTGTAATCAGTTACCATCCCTTCAGCAAAACTCACAATCAAATAGAAACATCGTGTAACTGGTTACAACTTTGGTGTAACCGATTACCACTCTCCAGTTTTTTGTATTTTAAAGTCAATAGCTTCTTGTAACTAGTTACCACTATTCAATTTTCTGTATTTGAAAGTCAGTAGCTTTATGTAACCAATTACCACCCTTCAGTTTTTTATATTTTGAAGTCAATAGCTTCCTATAATCAATTACATGATTGAAAAGTTTATTTTCCATTTTAGTTTGTTAGCTATGCATTCTCAACTTATTTTCTCTCTAATTCGCTCACTCTCTCCATTATTCAATTGATCATCATTTTATTATGTGATTGAGTTTTTTCCTAACAAAATAAGTTGTCAAATTGATCTTTATCTCTATAAACCGCTCTCAAATATGTCCATAAGTTTATTATTTTCAAATAGTCATTAATTGTGTCAAAAGTTTCTTAGGTAGGTTCCTTTGTTAGTATAAGAGAATTTTTTTAAAAAACTCACTATCCGAACACCTTATTGGCTAATCTTAAAATTAATCTCATCATCAATACCCGAGACCCAAAGTCAGGGTAAAAATTTATATAAGCAGACCCAATTAATAAATGTAATTTAACCATGTTAATAATATTAAGATTCTTAAGATGTGATAACTTAGTTACTAGCTTGACTCATTCATAATACTGTGTGTTTAATTTATGCTTTAAATTCAAACTTCTGATTTTAGTCTTTCAATTTCATGTGCTTAATTTAATCAATTATGATATGGATTATGTTATTGTACTTGAACTCATAAATATTATGTTTTTTCTTTTATAATCATTATGTATTTCAATTGTATAATCTAAAAATGTATTTTAACAATATAGATTGAAAAAATCTATTTGTCCGAATTTTACATTTTCATGCAAAGCAACCCAATTTTGTCAAAATATTATAAATCAAAGAAAAAGAAAGGTTGCGACAGTTATTTGAGTTTTTTTTCTTTTGCATCAAAGAATATGACTGGAATATACGCACAAACGAAAATTTCTAGTGGGTCAACATCAAGTATGGGCCCAATAAGCCTTATGGGCCATACAAAGAAGCCCATAACCGGCAAAATCCAACGCCACGAAAAACGAGCAGCATCACCGCGAACGAAAATTCTCGAGCGCGAACAAGATTGTAGAATAGAATTGAAATTTGCGGAAGAGGAAAAACAAGAAGCGTGAGAATTTCAACTTGTTCAAAATCAGAAAAAATATAAAAAGAGAAAGAAGAAAAAAAGTAGAAAAGAGAGAAAGTTGCATATTTCAATGGTGCTGTGGGAGATAACACTCGGAACTGCGTATTTCTTGGGGCTCAAACGAACTTACAAGCTTGCTCTCAGGATTCAACGAAAGCTCGTAAGCCCTAAGTACCCTAAGATCCGTCAATTTCTTCACAGGTTCGTTTTCTTTTTCGTTTTCATCAACTTTTTGATTATGGAGTATGCGATATTGTTGTCAAGATTCTTGATTATCTTGCGAAATGATTCTTTCGTTCTGATGTTTGCTGAATAAACTTCATGAAGTTAAAGATTATTAGTATTAGATTTTTTGAATATTCTGAAATTTGGTGCTGGTTTGTGTTACCGATCTTTATTCGGATTGATAATCTCTGTAATGTATATTTGTTAGTAGCTTAGTTCTCAATTTCCCCCATTTTTAGAGAAGGAAATTTTGATATTAGAGGTATATGATTGATTTTGATATCTTTGGTTATTTACTAGTATAATCAATTTTGTGTCCAAACTTGATTATAACTTCAAACTAGAATTCGGAGCTGTTGTTTATCTTAACATGAATTATTTGAAGTTCGATTCATTTTTAACTAGAGAATCAAGTTTATAGGATTAATTAATTTAAAATCAATTTCTACCATCGTGGAACCAAATATGCAGTGTATGTTTGGATTCACTTTTTAAAGAGTCAAAACTAATTGTGCAAACTTAAATTGATTTTGGTATGTTTAGGAGTTCTCAAATAGGATTGATTTTGTTATGTTTAGGAGTTCTCAAATAGAATTGATTTTGTTTCATAATTGATTTTAAGTTGAAAATAGGATGAATGGTTTTTGTCTTCAAACGTGATCGGCACACTTAAACTTATTGGCTCCTCCAAATGTGGAACCAAACGTACCCTTATAGTGTGTTTGGGTCCGCATTTTGCTCACAGGCCACACTTCTATAGACCTTTTGCCGCCGGTAATTGTAACTTCACTCGAATATGAATATTTGCTGTGATTTTGACCAAACGTTGAAATCCTAACGTGTAACCATGCAGAGAGGCTAAGTGTATATTTGGTTTCATGGTGTTTATAGTAATTGACTATGACAATCATGGCTGACAAACATGACCATTGTTTGGTTATTAGGAATATTTGATTTTGCCTCAAAACCTCGGTTAAGTTGGAAGTGATAAAAGGTAGCTTTTCATGAGATAAATTACTCCACTTCAAACAATTGTACCAAAATTGATTAAATTAAACCAATAACATTCAAAATCAGGTTACCAAATATTCATTCAAATGTACACCCTTGATTATTTGAAAACTGTCTTTCATGTGCCCCAATTTTTGTTTTATTGTTGTTTCTTGTTATTAGCTATTTGTCACTGCATATTTGTTATTCAAATCTTTATCGGTGTTCCTGTTTTGGTGCTTCACAGACGTACACGTGCTGTATTTGATGTAGCAATCAAGGTTCATCGGAGCATTCAAAAAAGAAACATAAAAGTGGGTAGGAATGTCGGAAACTTCATTTTGCGATGTCTAGATCGAATAAAGCCCTCAGCTCGAATTCGCGGTCCTTCTCCGTCCATTACTGGTGGTAACTCAAAAGAAAGTACGACAAAGCCTACAGCCGGCACTTCCAACCACAAGCCTCCTAGTCATTCTGTGCCATTCAAGAAGGACTCTGATAGGCACATGTTTACTGCATTAACGCCAAAGCCTTTTCCTAGCATTTCAAAGATGATGATACCGCCGAATCCTGCTGGGAACACCATCCATGGAAGGAATCTCAGCACCTATACCCCTGAGGTCTTTAGACAAAATTACAGAGTGAATTGGTCAGGGAGTGTTATCAGGAAGGACATCATGCAATGGATGCTGCAAAAGTAACTGTTCAATGTTCATACTTTACCGATAGCTTCCTCTGTTTAAACAGGTTTTACACTCGACGATACAAGGTGGTTGAATAATGTTTTTGGCTGATGTTGGAAATTGAAGGTGACAGAAGTCTTACTCTCGCCTCTTAGACAATGTATAGCCTGTGAAGCTTCCTTTTGGATAATGCGTAGTTATGCTATTGTTTTCATTTTTCAGTTTTGGTTAAAGGAATTAGTTGTTCATAACCTCATAAACAGTGAATCTACTTGCATGCAGATTAATAAATAGCGAAGATTGTGCATATCTGTTATGATTCTCTTTCAACAATTTTATAGTTCTCACCTACTTGTGTTTATGCAACTTGTAGTCTAAGTTTTGCCACAAGTTCTTATAATATCCGTGTTTGTTGCTGTTAGCACTTGCACGTTACCACTTGAATGTTAGTGCATAGTTATGAGTTCTATTTGGGGGAGTCTCACCTAAAAGTGAAGTTTGCTTTCTTAACGATCTATCTGCCACATGTGCTCCAAGTTGTGTTCACGGATATATTTGCATGTTTAAGTTTGATATATATATATATATATATATATATATATATATATATATATATATATATATATATATATATATATATATATATATATATATATATATATATATATATATATATATATAAACACGCAATTCGTGTAAGATATATTTGTACATTAAAAGATAAAGATAGTGACATATTTGAAGAAAAAGAGACAACTTGAATGTGAAATCGTGTTTTCAAAATCAAGATAATGTTGCTCTTTAGCTTATGAGTGTGGATGAAATTTAGATTCCTATATTAAGACAATGTATAGCTTTGTTCTTAACATGCGAATGTCGATGCAACATAGTTCCGAAGACTCGATTATAGAAGAAATCTAGGCTAGTATTTCTTCACTCAAAAGTGCTACATGCACTGGCCTAGAAAATTATGGTGCTTTAGTATTCTACCTTGTTTGCTAATTTTGCCGCACTTGAAAATAAAAAGTAAAATCATGGAAGATGCCATTTGGTATGAGAGCAAGAAAGGTGATTTTATTCCGTATTCTACCTTGTTTGCTAATTTTGCCGCCTTTGAAAATAAAAAGTAAAATTATGGAAGATGCCATTTGGTATGAGTGCAAGAAAATCGAAAACAAGCAACACTGGATTGATTTTGAGAGAATTATGGGTCTGTTTGTTTTAAATTTAAAAATATTATTATTATTTTTTATATTTTTAAAAATGGGTTTTGTAAATTCTTTTTTAAAATATTATAAATTTTTATATACTCATTTTTTTTAAAATTGTAAGATTAATTTTGATATCGTACAACATAAACATATATTATTGAAAATCAAAACATACTCAAAATTGCAATTTTAAAAAAAATTATATTTCAAAAATGATTTTTATAAAATACTATTTAAAATAGTTTTAAAATTATGTGATTTTTTGAAATTTTGATATATAATTTTTTTTATAAAATAACATTCTAAGAATAATTATTCAAACTAAATTTTTATGAAAAGTTTTGTTGTAAAATTTTTTTTCACAAAATTATACTATATCATAAAATTATTTTATAAAAAAAAATCAAAATAAACGGGCACTAAATTTGACAAAATTAATTTTAACATAATTATACTTTTTACCATTATAGTAGAACTGATTTATATGTAGATATAATAGTATAAAATTGATTTCTTTGTGTACTTTTTACCATTTTAGTATTTCTTCCATAATACTAAATGCTAAATGGTAAAACAAGTACACATAAATGGCAAAGCAAGTATACTATTGCAATTAAATTTGTAAAATTGTTTTTTTTCAATGGCTGTCTTTCAGACACGGTGAACTTATGAGTATTATTTTAAGAGAAGAGGGTAAAACATTGTACTTTTCAATAAAAGAATTTAATAATAAAATTGAAGAGAACTCAAGTGTTGAAGACAACTACATAATTAACTTTTAATAATTAATGACACTTCAAAACAATTTTATGTATAAGAATATAGTTATTGTTTTTTACTTCCAAATGACACAAATTTCATTTTAAAATGATATGTATGCCTCGAGATAGTATCCACATCATCCAGCCATCAACTATTATGAGCAACAAAACAAAACCAAAATCAACATCAACTCTTTAATTGAAAAAATGGTTTAATATTTTTGGATATTATAAAATCAACGAGACGGAATGGTGTGTAAGAGAACGAATCTATTTTATTGTTTAGAAATTTTAGATTGGAATAAGATAATTTGGTCATGTTGTTTCACGAATTTGAAAATTAGCCACATAAGAAATTATCGAATCAAGTTGCAGACTACGTCGCTTTTTAAGACGTTTCGTAACACTGCCTAAAGTTATGTAAAACAGTCGAATTACACTGCCGCCTCCAGGATAAAACAACCAAATTCTATATTGTACGATTACTACTTGCATAGTAAATAACCGGTCTAAAAATACATCTTCTGATGGTACAAAAGCCAATCGAATATGGTATAAATACCACTCGTAGTGTCTGGTATAACGACCCGTCGTAATAGTTTCTCAAACCAAGAAAAAAATTCAATAATTCTCCAAAGAGAATTCAATAATGGTCATTTGACCACTCAAAATGATTTCTCAAACAAAGAGAAATTCAAACAATTCTCTAAAGAGAATTCAAAAATTATACTTGATAATTTCTCAACTCAAACGAGGAGAAATTAACATAATTCTCTAAAGAGAATTCAAGAAAATACTCGAAAAATTCAACGAGTAAAAAGAAAGTGAGAGAAGTTGGCGCTTCAACAATTCGAAAGACACATAGCTATGAGAGTGAGAAAGGAAAAATTCAACAAAAGAAGTTTTTGGTGTAAAAATAGAAAACAAATGAGTTTGTGAAATTGTTGATATCGGTGATGTTTGAGTTGAAATTGGTGTTGAATGCAAGATTCAACAAAAGAATGTCAGACATGTTCCTAATATTTGTCTCATCTTGGTTTCGATCAAAAACTTAGATATTAAAAGTTATCACACTTACATTAATAAAAGTGATATATATAAGATCACCAAAAGAGTCATTAGTAGCAATAATGGGGTAAAGTCCCACAACTCTTTATAAGATTCATGTAAAACTATATAAGGAAGAAGCGAATATAGATGAAACTGAAACTAGTAATTTATAGCATAGAGACCTCATTCACTTGAATGAGAAAAGACTCATCATTCTATCAAACAACATTATGCATTTATTTTAGTTAGGGGACCAATATGAAAGACTAAAAATAATAATTAATCATTATTAATTTGTTTGAAATATTTAACAAATAAACTTTATACTTGTTGAAATTCAAAACTAAAGTGTCAATATGTCCGAGTGGTTAAGGAGACAGACTCGAAATCTGTTGGGCTATGCCTGCGCAGGTTCAAATCCTGCTGTTGATGATTTTTGTAAATTAAATTTTAGGAGTTTTTTTTAACTAACACACAATGTGAGACTTGACTTAAGGAAAATTTTCAAATTCATCTCCCTATATTAGAACATTGACATAATGTTCCAACAATCCCCCACTTGAATTAAAAAAAAAGGTGATTTTAGAATGAACATCAAACGTTTCTAAGATTGTGCATAAACAAAGGTGTCTACGACTTGAACCTCTGCGTAGCAGGTAGGATTCCGATTCAACAAGAGTGACACAATTGTCTTGAACTCTATCTCAGACATCAAACCCACACACAATATTTTCTTAAGGTGTATTATAATACTCTTTGCTTTAATGGCCTTGCACGTGTATACTAGTTTAGTGAAAGCTCTGGGAATTCTGCCTCGCAATTCCATAAGAACCGGCCAAAGTTCCACAATCACATAGGTGAGTCTATCAATAGTACTCTTGTAGCATATGTACTCCTTCATACATAACATAGATCTCATTAAGAGCTTATATTATCTCATCCTCTTATTACTTCAGGATTCATGCTTCACTTGCACGATCATATCATATTGCTCACAACTTGTTATTACCCATTTAAGCTATTTCTTTGGAACTCCAGTCATCTAGGTTAGATTACCTTCATGAACAACTCATTTCTTTATATGCATTAGTCTAATCTTCTTGCATGTATTATGGACTTTCTCTCTAGCTAGTCCTTTCGTCAAAGGATATGCTAAGTTTTTCATCATTGTGTACATGATTCATTCTTACAACTACTTTAGAGATACGATTTTTAACAATGTTGTGCTTCCTATTTATTTGACATCATTTTCCGTTATACTAACGGTTCTTAATTTTCGCAATAGTCGCGGTACTATCGTAGTGGATCAACATAATTGGTATAGGTTTTTTCCACAGAGGGATATTTGTAGCAAGCATCTTAAACAACTTGCTTCTTCGCTAGCTGTGGCTAGTGCTATCATCTCAGACTCCATTGTAGACGGAGTCAGGATAATGTGTTTCTTTGATTTCTAAGATACAGCTCCTCCAGCTATACTAAATATATAACCACCAATAGCTTTGGAATCATCCGATAAGGTGTTCCAAGTTGCATCACCGTATCCTTCTAGTATAGTAGGAAATATCTGGTAATGTAGGCCGAGATCCATGATTTTAAGGTACTTCATCCTCCCTCAATAACTTTCCAGTGCTCGTTACTCGGTCTACTCGTAAACTTGCACAACAATCCTACGACATATGCAATGTCGGGTCTAGTACAATCAATGGCATACCTAAGACTGCCAATTATGCTCGCATATTCTATTTGTCTGACACTTTCAACAGTGTTCTTGAACAGTTTCACACTTGGATCATATGGTGTGCACGTAGGTTTACAGTCAGAGTATTTATATCTCTTTAATATCTTATCCACATAGTGTGATTATCCAAAGAAATTCCTTATTCAGATCTCGTGATCTTGATACCAATGATCATGCTTGATTCTCCGAGCTCTTTCATATCAAAGTTACATTGATTTCACATCATTAATGGTCTGAATATTTGATCAAAATATGGGT